TAGACTACTAAAGATGATGAGGACTACATGGAGGCGGATGGTGACGACGACGCACGGTGGTGATAATGGTGACCAAGATGATGATGAGGACTATGAGGATGAGTAGTCAGGATTCTTCACGCTGCCTACCCTTTTGGCACTTTGTTGACAAAGGGGAGTGTTAGGCTTTGATCTATCTTGTAATAAGTTAGTTGGTCATTTAGTTTCTAGACTTTTAAACCTTTAGCTTGTATGAACTATGTTGTGTGGTGGCTAGTATGTGATGGACAACTATATATATGTGTTTGTGATGCATGATTGTAGGACAAGTAATGGTTATCTATCTACCTTATTAGCTTGTGCTTGTCTCTACTTGTGATGGTGGATGTATTTTGGATGGCCATGTGTTGCTTCAAGTTTCTACTTTGAAATCTTGGCCTGTTTACAACAAAATTTGGTAAGCTTATCCTAGAAAGGAAGAGATCGGCCGATGATGTCAAAAGCAAGAAAATCTCCTAGTTAAGGGATATTCACGAGCCGGTCAGGAAATATTATTTTTGGAGAAACGCGACGTCCAGGTGCATATTACGATGAAAGAAACAAGGACACGTATCAAACAAGGAAGCTTCATCAGCAAGGATTCTACATAAGGGAAATTAGAGTCCATGTATCTTGATAGTTCTTTTTGTTATCTAGTCCTGTTCATTTTGGACTCTTATCAGCCCAGGGTATAAATATAAACCCTCGGCTATTGTAATCAGACACACAATCAATCCAATACAAGTTACTTACACTTTTTTGGCTCCGGCCACCCCTTAGAAGTAGGAGTAGAGTAGATCTCGGCGAGTTCATCAGCGAGCAGGGCTGCATCGGTCCGACCGACCTCCGGCTTGTCTGTAAGTATCATCATGGCTTATACTTCTATTTGTACGGCTGCATCGATCCGGTCGACCTCCACTGCGACTCTGGTATAAGCTAGTTATCGACTCTTGTTTAGTTCAAGTACGGTTGCATCGATCCGGTCGATCTCCACTGCTCAAACTAGATTAAGGTCAAGTTATCGGCTTTATCTAAGGGTGGCATTCCTTCGGATAGATTCATTAAGTTACCGATATTGCTTATTGCTTTCATTATTCATCTAGATCGGCCTTACATCTTTTTTAACACATCATTTGTTAATCTAAATTTGATCTAATCTGTACTTTAAACGATGAGTTATGTTTTATCGAATGTTCTATGTCAATTTTGATCGTGCATAGTGTGCGGTTAAGGCATGTCTGATCTTGAGTAGATCTATTGGCTAGTGAAAACCGTTCCATGGCCCGTTATCACGGCCTGTGTGATTCTGCCTCACACCCCACTGTTAGCACCGTGGAGTGGAGATCGTTATTTGGTAGATCTGTTCCTGATAGGGCATGACCTTAACTGTGCGCTAAGCCTGAATCGGCTGTTTTAGCCAATATCGAGTGCTTTCACGAACAGTTCACATCACGAGACCGTTGAGGTAAAGATAGGTTGAAAGATGTGTTAGCCCCATGATCTTATTATTGTATTACGGCCTGCATGATTCTGTCTCATGCCCCACTAATATTAGTAATAAGTTAGGGTCGTCGAATCTATTGTTGTTTCTACGACCTGCATGATTCTGCCTCATGCCCCACTGGTCATAACGATATATGGGATCTAATATGTTCATTAGATTTATCTTTATTAAATGGTTAAATGATGATGAGTTGTTTCTTTTATATAAAAGGGATTCGGTTAATTGCAGTCATTGGCTTAGTATGAACTAATTATTGTTGACATCTTATTGCCATTGACTAATATTTGTCTAAATAACGATATTCATCTTGAATGATAACCGATTTTTCTTACACAACCCCATGAGATTTAACTAATTTATTCCTATGAGTATGCTAGAATCGACTCTTTAGTTGATCTCCTTTCACATCGGCTCTCAGAGCCGCACATTCGGGACTGTCTGGCAACACCGGCACGTTCCACCTTAAATTACTGATTAGCTTTCTCTCCTTGTCAATTGTAGGGTCAAATTGACTGGCACGTCTCGGGAGGAGTATGCAGGATTGACCACCCCTGCGTTGAAGCTAGGTGGATCTATAGCTCCATCGAGCGACCTTCCGGCTTACTCGAGTGCCCTCAAAGACGGGACGAAATTTCCATGCCAACATGGCCATTATATTCTCTTTTACTTGTTGTGTGAAATAACATGTCATATTGCATCTCTTTTCATGGATATATATTTGTTCACACACACTTGTTGCACCCCACGGATTGCAAAATTTAGGGGGAGCTTTTGTCTTGATGTATGCAAATCATGTATAGATGATTCTAATTGAAATTCAAATTCATGCATACATCAAGGGGAGCTCTTTATAAATTTTGGGTTTCAAAAGCTTTAAATTCTTTCATTCTTATAAAAACCTAAGTTGGTTGTCATCAATTACCAAAAAGGAGGAGATTGAAAGTGCATTTGCTCCCTATGTGGGTTTTGGTGTATTGATGACATCCAAATTAGGGACTAATATGATCTTAATGAGATATGTCGCAGCTATTAGTCCCATGAAAGATTCAAATAGTTGATAAAGAGGAAATGGTATCCCTCAATTCTTAAAGTTGTAAAGGCGGACGAACTCAAAGCGCTCTTCAAAGGTTTTATTTTTGTTTTTGAGTTTAGGATCTGCCGCACTATAAAGAGGGATGCAAACTTAGTTGGTCTGAGGAAGATAGAGTGCTCAAGCATAAAAATAAAATCAAAAGAGAGACACTCTAGCACTCTACGAGCACGTAGAATATTTTTCAGTGACTGTTGGTGTCGGAAGTCCCGACATAAGCCGAAACTCCCGACCGTCGGAAGTCACGACTCATGCCGGAAGTCCTAACGCCTTGATCCTTAGCTCAAGCAAAGGATGGCTGTGGCGATCAAAAGTCCCGACGTGAGTTGGAAGTCCCGACAGTCGGAAGTACCGACAGTCGGAAGTCCCGACCCAAGTCGGGAGTCTCGACACTTGGGGGTTTGCTGGCCGACTATCTGCGCCCGTCGGAAGTCCCGACGTACGTCGAAAATCCCGACAGTCGGAAGTCCCGACCCTTGTCGGGAGTCCCAACACCTAGGGTTTTGCTAGTTGGTACTCTGCGACGTTAGAAGTCCTGGCGTCGCGTCGGAGTTCCGACATTGATTTGCTCGTCGCGGACTTTGACCCTCGTGAACAGTGTTTTTTTCAAAGGTCGAAAGTCTCGAGATCTGCGTCGTAACTTCGACGTAGATCTCGAACGTGTTAGATTTCTACTATAAGTATAAATAGCCCTCTCTTCACTTCTAACCGTTATGGACTTATTCACGACTCACCAACCTTCGTGCTCAACAGCTCTCAAGCAACAAAGGCACCCTCTCCTCCCTTCTTTGCTCCAATCTTCGATTCTCCTAGGGTTTTGAGTGAAAGGAGAGTGGATTAAGTGAGAGAATCACTTTAACAAGCTTGAACACTTGATTTCTTCGTCAAAGCCGGTTGGATTTATGTCTATTACTCTTGAGGCTTTGCCCCTAGCCCGGCTAGGCATTGCCCAAGAGCTTCCATCTTGTGGAAGAGCCTTGGAGTTTGTATTACCCTTGATTTCTTAGTGGAAAGCTCAAGTGACCTTTGTGGTTGCCTTGAGAGAGGTAAGGAGGTGAAAGAGACTCCGACCTTTGTGGTCACCTCAACAACGAGGATGTAGGAGCTCCTTTGTGGGGTTGCCGAACCTCAGGATAAATCTTTGTGTCCCATGTGCTTGTTGTTGTGTTTGCTCGAGATTACTTGTATTTGCTTGTCTCTCTCTCGAACTTCATTTTAGGATTTGGACTCAATCTACGGTTTGGAGGCATTTCAGCGTCAAGGGAGTGGCCCAACATCTTCACCAAACCATTAGAAAGTGGGGTTGTAAGATTATTTATCCGCAAAGTTAAATTTGGCACTGCTTTTGTAGTTCACGTAGGCGTCGAGACTTCTGACGTTTGTACCGGAACTTCTGACGGCGTCGGGAGTTCCGACCCAAACTGTCGGGACTTCCGACATTGACTGACAAATTTAAACTTAGCATTTACAGTTAATTTTTAGATATGTCTATTCACCCCCCTCTAGGCATCGTTAGATCATTTCATCAGCTCGCGCGCGCGCGTCGAAACGGTAGCCGCCGCTCATGCATGCCCGGACGGCCTACGGTGGGCTGCGCGAACCCGCAAGTTATTGGTTGCCGTTGTCTCAAGATAAGATGGGCGACCGAGATTAACATGGATCGAATCGAAGCACCTCGAGCTGGCTGATCGGCGACATGCAGTTTTCACGAGCTCCTCCCCTCCCCTCGCTGCGTGGTGATGACCGGAGGTTGAGGATGAAGCTAACATGTGGGGCCCACATGTTAGAGAGTAGAGGGAGAGTAGCAACATGGGTAAATAAGTCATTTCCCGTGCTAAGTGAGGGCTTCCAGGCTCGCTGCCACGCTGGCATGCCCACCTGGTGTGCCACATCAGCGAAAGTGGCAAAAGCGTATGAGTTTCACTGTTTGTGATGGCAATTATGTAGAAGCGCACATAAAACAGGTAAACGGAGGAGTGCCATCCGTAAGGATGGCAAAAAGTTAAAAATCGCATCCAACGAGGCCATGATGATTTATGTAATGCACCATTTACTCAAGGGAGGAAATGAGGAAACTGAAAATGGGTGTGGGATTCAAGATCAAACCTGCTATGCTTTTATATAATATCCATGCTACTCTTTCTCTGTCATTTTTACACTGTAAAAAATGCTAATTGTTTCTCCATAATATGGAGACTGTTTTTTCACATCACTCGTGGGATCCTCTTTGAGTTGTATGTAGACTGGACAACTGTTGAAAGAGTCTGATAAAGAATCTGGACATCATAAGACCATTTCATCATTGTCAAAATCCTCAGATTGGTCACATTTCATTACTGGCTCCTTGGATAAATCTTCTAAGGTTAGAATTTGTTCAGGTTGACTGTCATGAAGATATTTGTAGTTTCCCAGAGATTCAATTTTCCATGCCTAGCTATGGGATACAAGAACGCTAACACTGATCAAGACGTATGTCACAGAGAGACCTGTTAATGCTGTTGACATCTCTCCTACTCATGATACAGTATGTTCCTCCTCACAAACTTATTTATACACATCTTTTCTATTCCACTTTCTCTTGCCACACGGCAAAAGCTGAAAAGCATAAAATGCCTGTCGACCTGTGTAATATTCACACATTGTCACGAGCTTTGTGTTGAATCTGTGATTCGTGAAGTAGCATGGGGTCTGTCTAAATGCCCAGGTTGTGTGCACTGCTGAGCTAATTTGTTTGCCAATTGGGTTTCATAATCCGTTATAGCGGATCTTCATATACCTGGTATTGCAAAGTGGCTCTTTGTCCAGTTTAGTGCATTTTATGTAATAATCATAGGTCGTGATTTTGTATATATGTAACTGTGCTGTCACTCTGTCAGCCATTGCATATTTTGCTGTGTACACTAGGAGAAAAGTATTTTATCACATTTAAGCTATTGACCTATGGCTTATGCATTTTGTTAGCTGTTGCGCTTCTTTTTTGTATTTACACTAGAACACTATTTATCATGTTTTATTTTTTGAGCTGTAGATGAATGCATTGTGTTTATTGTCTACATGTGATTCTTAGCTCAGTGGTACCATCATCTGTGTTCCATTTTCCTAAGATTTTCGTTTCTGTTTTTAGGTAGTTCTAGGAGGTGGTCAGGATGCAATGAATGTGACTATGACAGACCGCCGTGCTGGTAAATTTGAGGCTAAATTCTATCACAAGGTAAGTTCTTTTCCAGTTAATAAAGTATCGAGGTATTACTCCTTTTGTGTTGCTTCCTTGCCAAACTTTGTATGCTTACAATATTTGAACTGTTCTGATTAAAACTTGCTCTCTTTTAGATTTTGCAAGAGGAAATTGGTGGTGTTAAAGGACATTTTGGGCCAATTAATGCTTTAGCATTTAATCCTGATGGGCGAAGGTAATATTTTTTGTTCTGACAGTGCTTTTCTTATCTAGTCATTGTTGTTACTATCAGCATTTGTCCATTGTATAAGGTTATGCCCATATTTCGTGTTTTTTTGTTGTTGTATATGCTCAATGATTCTACCATGGTAAATCATGGTAATATACGCTATTCTGAGCCACACAAGGATGCCATAAGCTTTCTGAGAGCAGGATTTTATTTGCTATGTGTAATTTTCATTAGGTTTTCATATTGATTTATCTTTTGCAAATTTACTCTCTGAAAATCTCCTTTTCTAGCTTATTTGTGGAGCAATGTAACGACCAGTCCTGATTCTCCATTTTATCCCACATTTCTTTTAAGTTAATTAATCTGAAATATTTTATCTACATTGACACTAAACATTATTTTATCTTTTTCATATGTCTACCACATATCTGGTCTTCATTGATTTCTGAAGCTATTTATTTTTACCTTTTATATGGCTGAATCTCTCCTCTTCAGCCATGCTACGTTTACATGTAGCTCAGACTGATTGTAGCCAACATTGGCAATATATGCTATGCTGACCTCAGTTCGATGAACATTTTGAGTATGAGAGCTACATTCTGCCCACAGTAGCTTTACCATTAATCTGGCCTTTTAAAAAAATTCTTTTTTATTATCGTATGCATCTTTGGGATCTGATAGCTCAATGACTTCAACCAGACACACTGGTTATATATGCTATTCTGATTGCCGCTGTTGAAAAAAAAATGATTCATGAGAGCTACCATTGTACACTATCAACATGTGCTGTAGATACTTTTCTCTTATGTTCTGAAGTTGCTTTTTTTAGTAAAAAGGTTTTTCTAATTCTGTCCATATTCTTTCTTTAATCTTATTAGCTTTTCGAGTGGTGGTGAAGATGGATATGTAAGGCTGCATCATTTTGATTCCGACTACTTCAACATCAAGATGTAGATAAAGAATACCACAGGCTAATCCAAGGTAATATTCAGCTGCCAGCAATTCAAGAAGATTGCACCTATTTTTATGCACCAATGTGTACTGTTGAACTATCTAATGGTTTAGATAACAGGCAGTAGAAAAAATATCTTTCCCAGCATTAGTAAATATATATGGCATATTGTTTTCTTGGAATCCAACCTTGTGTTTTAGGAAGTGTTTGTGTTATTATTATACACATGTCAGCTTCATCTCTCGTCTGTTCTAACAAATCATCGATGATATCTATCCTAAGAATTCCATTTCTTGCATTCAGATTCAAAATTTAGGCCGTGCTTCCATCCTGCAACCCCTGTTGCGCTGGTTTTCAGCTCGTGTTTGTGTTAACCTTCATTCTGTAATTCCTTTTCAGGTTGTTTGAGACTCAACTGGTACAGTTTCTTGGTTCAGATGTTGCTGGTTGACCGTGACACATGCAGAGCTGGCTCAGATCCTAGATGGTGTGGCAGTGTGTTGCTTATTAGACGATGTTGCTCTGGACAAGCAGCTCTTTGGTCTGCTTGAGGAATCTGTACACTTTGGTAATGAAAAGATCCTTGAACTGCTATCTTGAGTTGTCATTCTCGCTCCATGGATTCCCATTTTGTTTCGATTTGTATTCTCTGTTAATCTAAATCTTCCCTAATGGTCACTACTGAACTCTTCTGCTCGCAGGCAGCAGAAACTCACACGCTAATACACACTGTCATTCTCTTGTGCCGGACTGAGCTGCTGGGCTCCGATGTACGCGGCTCCAGAAGGCCCTCCTCTGGTGTCTCCTAATATTGCTGGCACCCCGAGTTCTTCGCTTCGTCCTAGTATATCCCTGCGAATGTTTGTTGCGCCGAAACATCGTGCAAAGCAAATGAATGCCGCTGGGGAATGGATGATGATAAAACAAAGAGCAAGTGGCAGTCCGCCGACCGGCGACCGCGTTTACCTACTTTATTACCGCGGGCGGGACGCGGACCATTGTGCTGAGAACAGAGTCCAAAAAACCCCACTGCCGCGCCGCTTGCCGAACTCGGAGTCTGGGACAACCCACGCGCCCCGCAAAAAACAGCAGCCATGCTGATAGTTTTGGACTCTCAATCCACTGCACCGATACGGGTTACGGATACGATGATACAGCGATACTTTATACCCGTGCCAGCATGTGCGTAGTACTCCGTATCTCTGTAGCATTATTAGCGGCTCCTTGTTGCTAGTGAAAGTCCACGCCGCCTCTCCGTCCGTCCATCCGCGCTCAATGCCGGCGGCCACCGGATCGGACATCGTCGGCGCGGGAACGGCGGCCGTCGCCGTCGTCTGCGAGTACGACCGCGTCAGCGTGGTCCTCGAGCTCGCCGCGCTCTCCGCCTTCCTCCTCCTCCTGCGGTACGCTGCGGTCCTCTACGCCAACCACCTGCTCGCCACACTGAGCGCCGACGACGACCTCATCCCGCCGGCGGCACGGAGCGACGGCGCCTCATCATCAGGCCTCGACGACGCTGCCATCGCGCGGCTGCCATGCTTCGTCGTCGTGAGCCGCGGGGCCGGGGTGGCTGCCGCCACGACCGCGACGGAGAAGTGCGCGGTGTGCCTGGGCGCTGTCGAGGAAGGCGAGACGGCGCGGGCGCTCCCCAGCTGCGCGCACGCGTTCCACGCGCGCTGCGTCGACGCGTGGCTGCGCCTGCGACCGACGTGCCCCGTGTGCCGGGCGACGTGCCGCTGAGACACCGGAGGCGGCAGGCACCTGCACGCCGCGCCGCGACCGCTGGTGCTCAAGATTCGTCCATGTCGATTCAAGTAGCCGTCCTTCAGTTCACTGAGATCAAGTAATTTTTCTCCATGTCTTTAGTCATGCGAAATGATATTGACGATTCTGTTTTTTTATCTCAAAGAACACATTAAGTACAGTACAGCTTTGTGAAGGAAGATAAAAAGAAGTAAATTTCACCCATCGTACAGCAACTTATTTTTATACCACTTTACTTTAGTTTAACAATACGCAAAATGCACGAATAGATGCATCAATTTGTCATGTATGCTCATATACATAGCGAATATGCTTTTTTTAATAAAAAAAGATCCGGTTGTATATTAATAAGAAGGAAGCAGAATTACAACATCAAGTTTTCATGCGCGAGAAGCGCAGCCTAGTACAGAGGAGGAGGGCTGCCTAGGCTAGTTTCAGAGTTTATTACTCGCTGGGGTTTGAAACTACTGCTAGGGGTCTAAGGATCACCCACCCCCCCCCACCCCACACACACACACACCCCAGGTGGCTCATGTGTCCTTGCGCTGTGTTTAGTTGAAGTCCAAAATCCAAAAAGTTGCTACAGTACCTGTCACATCGAATGTTTACGGTCCATGCATGGAGCATTAAATGTAGACGAAAAGAAAAACTAATTGCACAGTTTGATGGGAAATTGCGAGACGAACGTTTTGAGCCTAATTAGTCCATGTTTGGACACTAATTGCCAAATAAAAACGAAGATGCTACAGTAGCTCCAAATTCCAAATTCATGGAACTAAACAAGGGCTTGATCTCTGAGAAGAGCGCCTGCTCTGTTCTTCGTGAGGCGAATATGCTCACTAGCAGCATGATGTGGAGGTGCCGTATGGTTTAATGGTCCTTTATTCAACTGATAACTTCTCAAATCACTTTCATGTTAGAAAAAAGATAGAAGGTGATGATCGACGGCAAGCCTTACAGTGATCTGCATCAAACGGAGACGGTAAATGTGAATAAATGGCAGACGAGTTCACTGTGATCTCATAGAGCACGGTGAATAAACGAGGCTTTTGTTAACTAGATCAACAGGGACGAATCTAGCCGAAAACATTATATGTGTCATTAGGATAAATTTCATTATATGACACGATTTTTTTAAGAGCTACTCTATTCGTCCTAGTATATAAGGTGTAAACATTTTTTTTTCAAAACCCATAATATAAAGCGTGCTCTTTCTAAACAAGCGTACATTAATGTAATAGTACTAGTGTTGACAAAGAGAATTAATTAAATACGTTCCTTGGTTTTTGAACCAGAGGTCGCCTTGTTCGCTTGAACTTATCAGTCGTACCGTTTCAGCGAAATAACATTGTTTTTCTCTCACAACAAATCAGCATCAGCATCAGTCGTTTTTCCAGCCAGCCGAACATGGCCCATTATGCCTTATATACTATGACAGAGGGAGTATTTTCTAAACCCAAATTCCGACCCGGATCCCATATTTTTCCCCGAGCCAGAAACACGCAGACAACCTCCCCGAGTCAATTTGTTGTTGACTTTGGGAGCCTAGTGGATGTGAATTTGAAGCCCGCTTCTATGGGGAACTAGCCCAGCCAAATGACACCAGGCGTTGATCCCCATTTCGCATCTCTCTCTCTCTCAGAATCGCGTTGTGGTGCTCCTCGTCTCACATCTCTCACTATATAGCAAGGTTCACACCACTCTGGCTTCTCATCCGTCGACTCCATCGCTAAGACTCACACCACCAACATCTTCGGCTCTGGCTCCGGTTCCAACACCGCAGGTGAGCCTGCCTCAACCCACCTCATACCCCTATCTCCCACTATAGGGTTTCTTGGTCCTCTCCTCACTGCGATGTTTCTAGTAGACTAGGGACCACTGCCTCCACCTCAACACCCGGCTAACCGTCCTAAGCATAGACACATCAAAATAACTACCAAAGATGGCAGAGCAAGTACAATAATAGCTTTATAGCCAAACTAGTGGTTATTTTGTTGCTGTGGAGGAGGAAAGGAAGAACAGAGGAGAGCTTGAATTTCATACAAGCAACAAGATGGGTATAAGAGCCTATGTAGTGGTGCGCAAATATTTTCTCTGGAGTTTTTCTTTTGCATATACATTTTGCTCATATAAAAGCTTTTGAGTGATTTTGCGTGCATAAATAGAAAATAAATGATTTTTGCATATATGTTTTTTTTGTATATATGTTTTGCTCGTAGAAAAGTTTTTTTAATGTGAGGAGAATCTAGAAAGAGATGGTGGGAAATCGATCAAAGTAATAATAAAAAAGTTTTTTTTAATAAACAACAGACAACTATCGTATAATTTAGCTTTTACCACTTGAGTTATAGCCAAATAGCTGGCTCCTGCTCTCATGTCCGTCTCTGCAAGTGTCAGCTTGCATCACACACCTGGAGTTCGGCGGGACTAATGGGCAAGTTGTTTGGTATTGTCCCCTCTGCTGGTGTTGTATTCTCGTGCCAGCTAGCCTAGCCTGCTTTGGAGCTGCAGTAGAGGTGTTGGGTCTATTTGATTAACCAATTAAATTTTAGCTGGCTAAATTTAGCTGCTAGGGATCCAAACGGTTAGCTAAAAGAGTAGCTAAAGTTTAGCTGAGTGTATTAGCTGGATGATCCAAACATCCCAGCTAAAGCTTACGTAGGACAACTTTTAGTTTTAGCTGGCTAAAGTTTGACTTTAAAATTTTACTAGCTAAATTTTAGTTAGGCGGATCCTTGTAGTCCGCAAATCTACTCATGAGTTGTGGGTGCCCTGTTTTTGGGGCAGTTGTTATTGTTGGTGCCTGTTTAGTTTCCAAAATTTTGCAAAATTTTTCAAGATTCCCCGTCACATCGAATCTTTGGACGCATGCATGAAGCATTAAATATAAATAAAAAATGAAACTAATTACACAGTTTAGACGAAATTCACGAGACGAATCTTTTAAGCCTAATTAGATTATGATTGGACACTAATTACCAAATAACAACGAAAGTACTACAGTATCATTTTAAAAAAAATTCGGCAACTAAACAAGCCCTTGGTTGCGGAGGTTGGAGCTGATGGGTCACGGCAAGTTCGCCGACAATGACACCATATTTTATATTATGTTATGTGCATAATTTATTTGTTTCAAAAATATATGTGAACAAATTTTTAATTGCATACTTTATGTTCACAAATCATGTGCATATTGTTTTTTTACACAAGTAGGATATGTGCTTGCATTCATAGGGAGAGAAGTGTATATATGTGAGCATATGTGTCTACACTGTGTTCGAAAGAAATATGTGCCCAAGCCGTGTGTCTGTAATATTTTTTCTCAGGAGTTTTTGTTGCATACTCCTCAGAAAAAATACAAAATAAATATGTGCCTAAGCTTTTATGTGAGTATGCGTTTGCGCGCATAAAAGCTTTTGAGTGATTGCGCGTGCATATAAAATGGGGAGCGCTGGCGCCGGGATGTCCGATGGATACGGATCCATCGGATGATTCCGTGGACGCACCCTCTCAGCGCGTGCTCTTCCTTCTCAGTTCCGCACCGTACGCTACCAGCACGCCCCCCGGCGACGCTCGCAAGGAGCGGGCCCGCTGGACCGCCGCCGCCGCCGCCCTAAGATCACGCGCCCACGCAAACTACCGCTGATGCGTCTTCTTCGAACGAAGAGCCCCGCTAACACCGACGATCCCGCGACCTGCGATGCCTACAAAGAGCCCTGCTAGCCTATGTGCCGCGCGAGTCCGTACGCCCCCAGATCGCCCCGCAGTCGTCGCGTCCGCCCGACGCCCGCGACAAGCATGCTGCATGCCCGGCGCCCCCCCATGGCCACATCACCCCGCGTCCGCCGGCCCTAGCACCTCTGCCCGCTAGGGCCCGGCGAACCACGTGCATCCGTCCGTCCCGGCTCGCCCCTCCCTGTCCAAACAACATAGAAAGTTGGAATAAAAACACATGCAACAACACGGAAACAACTACTGCAACATTAGGCTGAAGCAGCTGAAACACCATGAACATGTATATTGCAACAACAAGGAACAACGGCTGAAACATTAGGCTGAAGCAACTGAAACACCATGAACATATTATTACAACAACACCGAACAAACTGCTGCAACAATAGGTTGAAGGAGCTGAAACATTTGGAACATATTATTGCAACACTGGTGTGAAGCATATGAACAACGCTCGAAAATAAAAACACTTGCAACAACATGGAACAACTACGGCATCATAAGATTGAAGCAACTGAAACATACTGCAACATCTCAAGCAGTACTACTGCAACATCGCAAAAACATCTGTTGCAACAACCCAAAAAAATCCCATTGAAACATTCGAAATCATCTGTTGCAACATAAAAAAACCATTGCAACACGGCGAGATCTGGCCCCGAGAGCTCGCCCGAACCCTAGCCACCGCCGCATCCCTTAGATCCAGAGGAGGAGGAGGAGGGCTCAGATCCAGATCCAGAGGAGGAGGAGGGCTCATATCCAGATCCAGAGGAGGAGGAGACCTCAGATCCAGATCCCTCCGCCACCTACCTCGTCGGAGCCACCGCCGTTGTCCTCGTCTTCGGTGGGGTGTGGGAGCCGGGTCGCAGGGACAGTGGGGGTGCATGGAGGCCGCGGTGGGCAAGGGACGGAGGGAGGAAGGGAGCACCGGGGGGGCGGGGGCGCGCCGCGAGCTCACGGGCGCGCGGGCGCGGTGTCCCCCGTCCCAGCGACGGCGTGGAGAGCGGGAAGGAAAGCGGCGCGCAGGGGGAGCGCGTGCGGGGGAGCGGCAAGGAGAAGAACAAGTGAGGGGGAGAGGGTGCGGGGGAGCAGACGAAGCCGGGGAAGTGGGCCGAGTGCGAGTGGGAATGCGGGGCGTCTGACGCCCGGTCTATATCATTACCGATATAAAATAGAAAATAAATGATGCGTGGGACCATGATATTCGTTTTGCTGCCTTCCTCCCTAGCGCTTGCTGACCAGAA